TTGGGGTAAAGGTTTGTCTTGATTAGGGGACTCTGTTGGCTGGCTCTTTTATCACTTGCTGTGCAGAAAGGCACAGGGCTGGCAGTGGGCAAATGAAAGCCCTCTATCTCCTTCCCATGGCCGACTCCAACCTCGGTCGGCCCTTTTGTCTGGTTATTTTTTTGTTGTTCTTTTTGCCATCTTCTTCCATCTCATGCGCTGCCCTTTCTTTTTTTTTTCTTCCTTGTGTTTTCAACGTTTCGTGTCTGGGTCATTTCCTGCTCATTCTTCTAACACTGCAAAGATTTATTGAGGTATTCACTCCCATCCTCCTCACTCACTCTATGGGGGTAAATAACCACTGATGCCCAAAGTAGATTCCTTTAGCCTGCTTTTTCACACGGAATATGAATCACGCAGTCATCAAACTGACCCGTTCTACATACCAATGAGACCCGGCTTACCACTGCGATCAAGAGCACTGCAACAACGGCGCTTCTTAACTCGCTTTGTTGTGTGCAGCGAAGAAAGGAGTAGATATTCTCCAGCGCACAACAGTTGTACACCAAGCAAGGAAATGCGTGAGCGGGGTCTTTCTGAGGCTGCACATTGAGTGACAGAGAAGGTGCAACAAAGTAAGTGTTTGCTCCCACGTGGCACCCTTACTAGTAGTATCTGCTTGTCTTGAAGATGTGAAGACTGACACAAACACAAGAACGCAAGTTCGTCCCATCTCTGCAGGAGCCTCCTCGTGAGACGAGCTGAGTAGGGTTACAAGTTAACAGTTTGACATATTTAATAAATTTGTTCTTCGAGCTGAAATTTCAGGTCAAAGTCACCTTCACAAGGCGTATAAGTGCAAATGGCATGTGACTAGAATAATGTAAAACCGTGAATAATAGCTTTTCATTTAACAGAGTGAAAGAGAGGCTGGCTGTTATTAGACAGAGGACATGATCTTGTCTTGCAGGTCGTCGGCAGCCTTTTGTTTCTTAAAGCGACATAGTCCACTGCTCAACACATGTGTAGACGTCGTTCCCGATGAAATTGTTACAGCTAAACAACTTCCTTAAATCTAAATCGGATCAACCATTAATCACCACACACACTGAAAAAAAAAAGTGACCTTCCAGCCAAAGTTACTACAAGAACACACTAACCAATTATCCTGGAGGGGACAAATTCATCTGGGTAGAAAGGCATCCAAGTTCTTGGAAAGTTACAAGGTCAAACGAATAATGACTGGCACCCCTTCAAAATAAAAAAATTTAAAAAAAATCCCACATTTGCCAAAAAAAAAAAACAAAACAAAAAAACAACAACAACAAAACATTGATGATATCCAAAACTTCTGGGACAATATTGAAACACATTTCAAATACAGTGGAGGTCGTATTATGATCTGGCTTCAGGACCTAGACGACCTGCTATTAATGATGGAACCATAATGTTATTTTGTCCCTTTGGTACAATCGTTATTATTTTACTTAGGAATATAAACAGTGTAAATGAAAACCTAACATATCTCGTTTCAAATCCAATAAATTAACATTGATCAAAGTATTCATTCTGATGTCTGAAAGTTCAGACTTCACTTATTTGTTTTTAAAGGAGCATCTGTGTTTGGTTCAGCTGATTCGAGTATAATTGAATTTGCACTGGAACATTACCAACTGAGTTTCAATGCTGTCTGGGCCACTTTTCACTTCACCTCAAAAATACTTAATTCCAAAGGGAAATTAAATGTTCTTGTAAGTCTTAAGGTCTATTTTATTGTCCCCATAGGAGAAATTTGTCTTGGAAAACGTGCTAAACAATTTTATCCAGGTTTCTTTAAACATTTGCTGTTGCTGCATCTGTCTGTGGGCAGGAAGGACCTCCTGTAGTTGTTTTTATCACAGCACAGATGAATAAATTTCTTGTTGACAACAAAACAGTCTTATGAACAAGAAGCTCAGGGTTATCTGCAAGCTTTCTAAAAAGAATGTTTTGTAATGTATTGATACGTTTAAATTGAAAGATGACTAATATGTAATAGAGGTGGTATTTAAACAATTACAAAAACTGTTAGCAAACTCCCACCACAAGGCTCAACGCCAATGATTCAATGCAGAATTAAACCTACTTCCTCTGGGGTAAATGTCTGTCTTGATAACCTGATTTGGTTAAAGCTAACCTCAGGTTTTATTATAAGCCTGGCGGGCCACCAGGCTTTACTTGTGCCCCACCAGCTTAAGGATTGCTTATTTACTTCAGTCCTTTTAAAATGTTTGCATTTTTTAAGACTTTATAGATGTCGTTCAGGTATTATTCTTACAATTTTTCAATAACACATAATTATAAAGTGCTATTCTCAAATTTTCTTTGAGAAAAAAAAAGTAAAATAAAAAAACATAATGGGCTTCTGGACCCTGCTGGGACCCAACCACTGTGCTTAGCAAATTTTCTAGGGAAAACCTTGAACCTGGTTCCTAAAATAAGGTTTTGCAAAATTTGCAGTCAGAGGTTTTAGAGTGATAACAAGACGGGAGAAAGTAGTGTGTTTACCGCTTAACCAGTAAGTTTGGGAGCTGCATGAAATGCTTGCTGGAACCATCTTGGTAGCACACCAGGTTCTTTTTCCTCATTCATGCCATGGCCCACACTGTGATTATCAAATAGAACAAAAGCGAAGACCTCAGCTGTGAAAAAATGTCCTCCCCCGGAAGTCTCAAAGCAAAGATGGCACTGGGACACACACACACACACACACACACACACACCCCACACACACACACACACACACACACACACACACACACACACACACACGCACGCACGCACACACACGCCCCCACGCACACACACACACGTAAGTTGATAAACACATACACTTGTTCACACACACCAACATGCAGTAATCCATGCATGCATGTGGCACTGAGGACGAACTTGCATAAACTAAACCCCTATGCGGGTCATTAGGTGTTTCCTGTCTGGCTATGGATTTGTTTATGGGCCTTATGGCTGGTTTGCTGTTAGTCTAACTTGTGATCATTAAGTCCAAAGTCTTCTTGTCTAACATTGTCTTATTAATAATAGATGGCTCAGTACCCCGGGGGCATTATAAGCTCACACACTTGTTATCCTGTCAGTCATGTTGCTGACTACAGCATTTGATCTTGATCTTTGCGTGAGTTCACAGCAGAAAACTGATCTTTCTAAGATGAGTGTGTGAGTATGAGATAGATAGCCATCCTTCATTCTGTGAATACAGATGTGCCATCTTTAAAAGGCTGGTAAGCAGTTAAGCTTTTAATTGAGAAATAAAACTGTTTTTGTGGTGGACTGATCTTACAACAAACAACTTCAGCGAATTTTGAACAAGATAATTAGATGAACATTTGTTGTAGTGGTTTAAGGTCAAAATTACCCGGACGTTCATCTATAAATACATACATACATCCTTTCTCATGCCTTTATGTATCTTAGCAAGTTGCTCCTCAACCACACTATTTTTATAGACAGCAACAAACTTCTGGAAATTCTCTTGCTGAATATTAGATTCACACTTCTTGGAAGAATTAGTGGAGTTAATTTAAAATATTTATTTTTCTGTAACAGACCTCTCTTTTAAGCATTCTCTTAGGACTTCTATAAACCTGAGGTCGGATCATTCCAGAAACCTGATGTCAGCCTAGTTTATCCATATGGGGTGCCCTTTAAGACAAAAAACAAAAAAATATATTTTTCTCTCTTTTACACACCCACACACCACCACAGACTCTCAGACACACACATACAAGACTACAATTGCACATATACCCCATATATCCAGTGCAGAGAACACTCAAGTTCCACCCAGAAAAATGGCCAGGATTCAATCAAGAGACTTTTTGCTGTGCAGTCCAGAAACTAAAAAATTTAAGTGAATTATAGCAATTTTGAGAAGTGACCAAAAACCAGGCAAAATTATACCAGAAACTTGTTGATGACAACAAAAGGATGTGGTTTCTCTACTAGAGCCTGTTTATTCAAATATTAGTGGAGATGTACAGCTCTGGAAAAAATGAAGAGACCACTGCACTGAACCCCATTGAAAACCTCTTGGTTATTCCACCAAATATTGATTTCTGAACTCTTCCTGAGTTAAAACATCAGTACTGTTGTTTCTAAATGAATATGGACTAAAGATTATTTGAAGTCTGAAAGCACTGCATATTTTTCATTATTTTGACCTTTCCTCATTTTTTACAAATAAATACAAAGTGTTTGCTTGAAATTTCAGGAACATGTTGTTACTTGTTCATAGAATAAAAAAAAGTAATATTCATTTTACTCAAACATATACCTGTAAAGGTTCAATCAGAGAAACTGATCATTTTAGTTGTCTCTTAAGTTTTTCCAGATCTGTATGTATATATCTGTATGTATATCCCTCCATGTGTTGATTAGATATCCATTATGAATTCAAATTTGTGCATGTAAGTATTATTTTAGAATAATCACAGAAATTTATGGTGGTATAAAGATTCTCACATGGATAAAAAAAAATTTCAAATGTAATCCATTATTAAATTACCAAAGTTTAAAAATGATGAACATAACTATACTTCCGACTGGCACTGCATGTGGAAAACCAGAAAACTGAACCCTGACGAGTGAATTGGGAAGTCTGATGTTTTTCTTCAACGTATTATGGAAAGATTGTCGACACAATAGATATATTGCTCCACCAAAGTCATGTGACGATGAAGCGGGTGTTCAAACAGTCAAACATTTCATGGAAATTAAGCCTCAAAATTGTTCTGATCCCTTATTAGAAACCAAACACTTAGTTCGATCAAAGTTCAGATAAGCCCTGTGATGTTGTTGTTTTTAAAGTAAGCCACCCAGAAATATGCGATAAGATCAAGAGAGGGCCAGTAAAAATTATTTTACAAAACACTGCCCGGGGGAGAGGGACAGGACCCTGACCGCTGGTCAATAAAAATTCCTTGCAAGTCACATAAACAAGTGTGTGAGTCTGCTGGCGTGTGTACCTTCAATGGCGAAAGGCTTCCCCACTGTGAGCAGCTTGCAGTCTGCATCAATGGAGACCTCAAAGTCGAGCAGGGCTTTATCCATGATGAATGCATCCAGAGCCGGAGGATCTGTCCTTCACCACCAACATACACACATAGCAACAAGAAGAAAAAGAGGAAGAAAAAGAGAGAGACAGTGACGGATTAATTAAAGACCTCTAATCTGTAAGAAAAGTAAATATAAACATACGCCAGATTGAGTTCTCCTCAACCCTGATGCCCACGATTCTGAATGTGAGGCTGTCATGTCAGCTCGTCATTTATAGGGAGGATTAGATTAACCATGCTCCAATACACTTTGTAAACACATATATCATTACCTAAACCAACAGGCTCTGCAACAGACTGATAAGGCATTATGCACTCTGCAGAGGACTCTCCTGCTCCAGCGATATTGATCCAATCGACCCTAATTGACCCCTAATTACAGACCATCCCTGTGCTGCTGACCACTGTGGTTAAGGATGCACAACACTCAGAGTCTGAAAAATATACTTGCTTACCTAAGATAAAGACATTCACTTTTTCAACGTAAGCCCATACACACCCAGGTTCCGAGATCATTAAATTTCCATAAGTGCACAGACATGAAAAGATATTGTTACTGTCTATTGGTAAAAAAAAAAATCTAATAAAAAATCCGACCAGCCTGATCAAATTTCCAGAAACTTGCTATTCAGGACATAAGCCTCGAAACAAAAGGTTGACTTTACAAAGTCTTTGCTTTCCTGGCAAAGATGGAAAGTCTGTTTTTCGATATCTCGGCCTGTCAAATATGAGGCGTGGGGGAGCAGAGAGGATAGAGACAACTTACGGGACTAAAGAGGGTCGGAATTCAACCGATGCATGGCCTTGGAATAAGAATTGGGTTTCCCCGTGTACGAGCGCGCGTGTGCACGCGGATGCATAAAAGACGACAGCCAGAAAGGCATGTTTCAAGTGTGTTCACAGGTGGAGTGTGTGCAAGTTATTTTCTGAGCCCTCTGCATATGTGAAAGTAGCCAAGGAAGGATTGGGTTTTTCCTTCTAAGATTTGTGAGCAGTATTGGGGTCAGTAGTTCTGCCAACACAGTATTTTACATTCCAACTCGGGCTCCCTGTGCTGCTGTGTCTTACAATTCAGCTTTGCCTTGCACACAAACAAACACTGCCTTCATCATCCTCTTTTTCTGAACAAGCGCTTTGTATCTTCCCACTGGTATCACAAAGTCAGCACATGCTCTATCTCCACATCTCTGCTGGTGCTTTAAGGAGCAGGCAGCGCCTCTGACAAGTGCCTGTACGGTTATAGCATCATCTGTCTTCAATGCTGCATGTAGCCGGTCCAAACGTACTTTTTAAGCCCTTGCATTCTGTGTTCATTCCGCTAGTTTTCCGTGAAGCTTTTGAAGGCTGCCCTGTCAGATGTTACGGAATAAGTTATGAAGCCTTGAGAGTCTTCGCTACCTAACTCGCGATACGGTTTATTTGAAAATTTTAGGATGATGAAGGAAGAATTTATGCACTGATCTAACAGGTTCAATAAAGTTGAGGACTTTGAAGGGTTTCAGTATTGTCACTTTCATCCTTCTTTACTGTCACAACAATCAGCAGGATAAGCCGAACTTTTGAAGAAACTGGCAAAGCGGCCCAGAAACCAGCACTTCGGCTGCACTGCTCGGTCACAGAAGTGAGATGTTCTGGATGCGTTGGTGTAAAACTCAGGTACAGTGAGCTCAAAATAGCTGTTTACATGTTCAAAATCAACATCACAACAGGAATATGATCAAAACAGAGATTGTGGAGGTGGTGTGTAATGCATGCGTGAGTGTTTATGTTCAGCAGAAAAGCATCATGAGCTGATGCCAAAGAACATAAAAATATGATTAAATATTTTCAAAATATAGACTTTCACAGTATATGTTTTAAAAAGGTTCATGTGAAGTTTCTTCACCAAGGCAGTTTTAATGCTGGACCAAGGTAGGTAGATCTAGAGTCAGGTATCCACTTGTTCCATACAAATTTAGCAAAGAGTTGATCTGGATTACCAAAGACAGTCACCTCTGTATCAAAATGTTTCTCCTTATCTTTCTTTGATGTATTTGAATCATCATTATAGAAGAAACAAACCCAGAAATCATCTGGTGACCAGAGTCAGTTGATGTTTAGCTTGACTGGTTCCCACCCTCCCAAAAATCGAATCTTTTTCAGATCGGAGAACATAACATCCGAAGCGATTCCATGCCTGGCTCCACTAACACTGACGAGAGTTGGCAGTGGGATCTGGTGCTGTTTGAAAAACGTTCAAAGCTTTGCAGGTACTGAGTTGAACTCCACTGCCTTTAAAACTGCCTTAAATATTCTTGTTATACATTCAACTTCTTGTCAAAAACTTTAAAGAGTTTTGTTTACATCAACATAAAAGCATCACAGAGTTGCTACAGAGTTCTCGGCTGAATATCCATGAATACGTGAATATTTCACTTGACAACATGCCAAAAGTGCTCCATAGGACTGAGATCCTTAGGCCATTAGAGTATTGCGAACTCATTTTGTTCAAGAAACCAGATTGAGGCTTGAACTTACCCTACCACAAGTATCCAGGGCTATACAGGCTATAAAGGCATGGGCCTTGTCAGCAAAAATACTCAGGTACAGGCTGTGTTGTTTAAAACTCAACAGCCTGCCCTGAGGAGCTCAAGGGGGGGCAAGAAAGTATCCCAAACAACCTCATACTACTGCGAACAGCCACAAACTTGGACGTGATGCCTTAAATTCTAGCATCTAAATCTTGCAGCTAATGTGAAATCTCACCCTATCAGGCAATTTCTCTTATAATCCTTTATTTTCTTTTTTTCTACTGCCATATTCAATTTTATGGGTTGTTCTGAATGTACATGTTTTATTGTTTTGTATCTGACTTTAATGGAGATTTGATGATTTAAAAAGAAGCCTCACATTCAGCCAATCAGAGGTGGTCTACTGCTGCTGTAGCCCATCTATGTTTTCTGTAAACTTCGGTTGTTTACGAGTGACCAATTGAGCGAACTGTATAATTTTGTCTTCTTGAACCATTCTGCAATCCTTATCTCACATCTACAAAGCCTTTTTAACCACACACCTGTCTGTCGTGAATTGTGCAGGGAGGCAGCGAGGATGGATGGTTTTCTCCAAATGAATTATATAGATCAGCAATATAAATATATATAATATATATATATATATATATATATATATATATATATATATATATATATATAGCTGACTGGATATATATATATATATATATATATATATATAGCTGACTGGATATCTCAATACATAATGCATCAGTATATCACCCGAGAGGGCAGGGTTGGAATCCAGTCTGTGTCATTAGGCAAGACGCTTCAAGCTACTGCCTACCTCATACCATGAGAGATACTAAGTTGCATAACATGCCGGCTCAGACGTCGCCCGGCCAAACAAGGTCTGCGTCAGGTGTTGGGGAACCAGAGCACCTTGATGACAAATGGGCTACTGGAACAAGACGGAAATGGGCGAGAGATGAAAATGTGGATCTGTTGGATTGCTACTACTCAAGTAACCCTAGTGAGAGAGGTTACATGCAAAGACTGGGGAAGGAATGGTTACTTCGACATCCCCAGTCAACACTAAGCGCTAAACAACTAGTAGCTCAGTGTTCCAACATCCGCAAACGGCAACTGCTATCACAACTTGAGATTGACGAGATACAACACAAAATGCTACGGCAAAAGGGAGGAACCCGGATGTCAGGACTGTGGGGACTTAACTACAAGTCCCCACCCAGTGAGGGGATACACGGCCCAATGAGCGAAACAGAGCTGAACGAGACAGCTGCTGACCTGAGAGAGAGAATCATGACCCGAATGACAACCAGGCCTCCCCGGCGCCAATTACAACGGCTGAGTGAAGTACCATCTGAAAGTCTCATTGAGAATGTGAATGCAGCATTGAGAACGATCCCTACCAACACCATAACAGAAACCAATGAGCTGATCTACAACTCAGCATCAGTGATCCTTGAGATACTTGGCTATAAGAGCAACCATGAGACCCAATACCCACCATGGAAAAGACGGTTAGAGGCTAAAATCAAGGTAACAAGGAGGGAAGTGAGCCAACTGTCAGAGCTCCACAAGGGTGCAATGAAAAGACCAGTACCCAGAAAGTACAGGCAGATGCCCATACCTGAAGCACTCGAGACTGCCAAACAGAGGCTCCAAGCCTTGTCCAGCCGCCTAAAGAGATACACAAGGGAGAATGAATCCAGAAGGATTAACCGGCTCTTCTCCACTCAACCAGCTAAGGTGTACTCTCAATGGCAGGGTAACAATAACAACAGAGCAGACCCACCAAGGCTGGAGACGGAACAATACTGGAAAGGCATATGGGAAAGGGAGGCGTCCCACAACAGCAATGCACAGTGGCTGATCTCTCTACGAGAGGACCACAGCAACCTCCCTGAGCAAGCCCCGGTAACCATCACTGTGACAGATGTCCAAGAAAGAGTCTCAGGTATGAAAAAACTGGACAGCACCAGGGCCTGACATGATTCATGCCTACTGGCTAAAGAAACTCACTGCTCTCCATGAGCGAATGGCAGCCCAAATGAACCAGCTGCTACAAAGTGGGACTCACCCTGAATGGTTAACTGAAGGCGGACAATCCTAATCCAGAAGGATCCATCAAAGGGTCCAGTCCCACCCAACTACCGACCAATAACCTGCCTCTCCACAACCTGGAAGCTCATGTCAGGCATCATAGCGGCCAAGATAAGCAAACACATGGATAAACACATGAGCACGGCACAGAAGGGTATCGGTGTAAATAGCAGAGGAGCCAAACACCAACTCCCGTAGACCGCACAGTTGCCCGAGACTGCAAAACCCGACACACCAACCTGTGCATGGCTTGGATTGATTACAAGAAAGCCTATGACTCAATGCCGCATACTTGGATCATTGAATGCTTAGAGATGTATAACATCAACAGGACTCTGAGAGCCTTCATTGCAAACTCGATGAGGCTGTGGAAAACCACCCTTGAAGCCAACTGCAAACCACTTGCACAAGTGTCCATCAAATGTGGCATATACCAAGGAGATGCTCTGTCCCCGCTACTGTTCTGCATAGGCCTGAACCCCCTCAGCCAAGTTATCAACAAGACTGGCTACGGATACAGACTCAAAAATGGGGCCAATATCAGTCACCTACTCTACATGGATGACATCAAGCTGTACGCCAAGTGTGAGCGAGACATCGACTCACTGATCCACCACCAGGATCTACAGCACTGACATTGGGATGTCATTCGGACTAGAGAAATGTGGTCGGCTGGTCACAAAGAGGGGGAAGGTCATCCACACAGAAGGGGTCTCACTCCCAGAAGGAACAATAGCAGACATAGAGGACAGTTACAAGTACCTAGGTATACCACAAGCAAATGGCAACCTCGATGAGGTCACAAGGAAAGGAGCCACAGCTAAATACCTCCAACGAATAAGGCAAGTCCTGAGAAGCCAGCTCAATGGCAAGAACAAAATCCGTGCGATAAACAGCTATGCCTTGCCAGTAATCAGATACCCTGCTGGAATAATTAGCTGGCCAAAGGAGGAGATAAAAGCCACAGATATCAAGACCAGAAAGCTACTAACAATGCATGGAGGGTTCCATCCCAAATCCAGCACCCTGAGACTGTACACGAGCCGCAAGGAAGGAGGCAGAGGACTAGTGAGTGTGAGAACCACTGTCCAGGACGAAACAACTAAGATCCATAAATACATCAGGGACAAAGCCTCAACAGACAATGTGCTCAGTGAATGTCTCAGACAACAGGGAACGGAGGTTGAGGTGCCAGAGATACCATCATGGGAGGACAAACCCCTACATGGGATGTACCACCAGCAAATAACCCAAGTGGCTGATATCAGTAAATCCTACCAATGGCTGGAAAAAGCTGGACTCAAGGACAGCACAGAGGCCCTCATCCTGGCCGCCCAGGAACAGGCCCTAAACACCAGAGCAATAGAGGCCCAGATCTACCACACCAGACAAGACCCAAGGTGTAGGTTGTGCAAGGAGGCCCCTGAGACAGTCCAGCACATCACAGCAGGGTGCAAGATACTGGCAGGGAAAGCGTACATGGAGCGACATAACCAAGTGGCAGGCATAGTGTACAGAAACATCTGTGCAGAATATGGACTGGAAACCCCAAGATCAAAGTGGGAAACACCCCCAAAGGTGGTGGAGAACGCCAGAGCTAAGATCCTGTGGGACTTCCAGATCCAGACAGACAAAATGGTAATGGCGAACCAACCAGACATTGTCGTAGTGGATAAACATCAGAGGAAAGCCGTTGTGGTAGATGTAGCAATACCAAGTGATTGCAACATCAGGAAAAAGGAGCACGAGAAACTGGAGAAATACCAGGGCCTCAGGGAGGAACTGGAGAGGGCCTGGAAGGTGAAGACCACAGTGGTGCCTGTAGTCATCGGGGCCCTCGGGGCAGTAACCCCCAAACTGGAGCAGTGGCTACAACAGATCCCAGGAACAACATCAGACATCTCAGTCCAGAAATGTGCAGTCCTTGGCACAGCCAAGATACTGCGCAGAACCCTCAAGCTCCCAGGCCTCTGGTAGAGGACCCGAGCTCAGAGGATAAGAACCACCCGCGGTGGGTGAGAAGGGAATTTTTTTTTTTTTATAGTATATACATTGCTATTTCTGTTCAAGGTCACGTGAGTCCCTTTATGCTCATTTTGATACTCGATTTAAATGTCAGTGAAATGAGTTGCCTTGTAATTTGTTGGTTGAATGAGCATACCTAATAAAATGGCCAGTTAATGTGTGTATCTCCTTTTAATGGACGCCCAGGCATGTACAGAAATCTGGCAGCATGGTGGTGCTTGGCGGTGTGCTACAGCAGGAATGTCACGGGGTCAAATCCCAGCTGTGGCCCTTTCTGTTTAGAATTTGATTGTCCTTTTTGTGCACATGTGGGGTTTCCACAGGTACTCTGGCTTTCTCCCAGCGTCCACAGAACAGACCTACCAGTGTGAATATATTTAGATGCCGGGTCACTCAAATTCCATATTTCAGCTGGCCCCCACAGGACTGGATCCCGCAGTTACATAAACCCTTCTCTCCCTACTGAAAATATTTCTTTTATTTGCACCTTTGTGCTTCATCCACTTTACGATTTGTAATGCCGTATACGAATCACTTTTGCAGACCTAGTGAATTGCTTAAACTTTAAAAATAAACATGCCCTGCCTCCTTGCTTTCATCTGCTTTCTGTCCCCATTCAGCATCCCACCGAACCGTTCCTTCCCAGCGATAATTACCTCAGTCTGGCCCTGACTTGCATTCATTCCTATTTTCCAAAAACTCATTATGAATAAGAAAACAATTCCTCCCCCTCCATTGCAAGCATGTTGTCAGTGCAATTTATGTCTAGCTTTACCTCACTTATACCTTCATCCGAAATGGATTTGCATTAACAAAACAACAAAAAAAAAGGTCATGTTAATGCGGAGTGCGAATGCATACATCAACTGGTGTTCGTTTGTTTCTTTGACAGGTGCAATTGCAAAGTACCGTGTTCTCTTAATAAGAAAACAGAGAAAAATGGATTAGAGGGAACATTACTTCGGGCGGAAAAATGGCAACAAATCTCACAAAACCTACAAAAACACATCTAGCCTTTGACTGCTCTCCTTGAAATTCAAAACGAATCTTTAGGACATAATCGAACTGCTCCAAACAGATGTGGAGAAGTAGGGCGAGCAGACGCAACACACACAAGAGTGTTTGGACTTGGACAGCAGCGACTCGAGAATAGAAAAGAGCGTGCTTTAAGCCTTACTTTAGCATGTGCACACCCTCTGGCGTTGTGGGCTGGTTGAAACGTCTCATGTAGTCATGCATCTCTGGGAAACTCTTCTTCATGTAGTCCTCGGCGCTGCTCTCCCTCACCGTCCCAAAGCGGAAGCCCAGAGAGGGATGGTGCAGCTGGGGAGGATGGTGAAGGATAACGCCGAGACGGTAATGGAGAAGTAAAAGAGAAAAATGATGGAACTTGAGGAGAAATTCACAGCGACTCCAAACCCACCCGAAAATGGAACAGGGAAGCGAAAAGTCGTCATGTTAGACAAATTATTCTGCTCCTTCCCCCTTGAGCATTTTTCACTTTTTGTCTACAACTATCACCTTTTTTATTGTCTCTTTCTCAAAAACAAAGTTGCGCATGGTGGACACATCTTACCACAAAACTCTGAAAATGTCGTTTGAACATATTAATGTAGTCTGCCCCCGAGTCAGAGCTTGAGGAACGACTTTCCACTGCAGCTACAGCTCCAAGCATTTTGCCTTTTTTTTTTTTAAACAGCTTTCCTTATCTAGGGACCAACCATCTTGCTAAGTCTTCTTTGCAAAACTGCAGACTGGAAATTAAAATTAATGTTGATATATTGCAACAAATTACCTGTTAACTGTACATTTTGACCAAATATGGATATGCTTTGCTCTAAGCCATTCTATCAAAACTTTAGCTGTTTGTTTAGGGATATTGTCCTTTAGGAAGATGAATGTCCAATCCCGACATATACTTATTGCTTCCTCTATCAGGCTTTCTTCCAGAGTTCCCTGGCAATAAACACAACTGATCTTCTTTGCTTGTCAGTTTAGGACTTTGTTTGAAGTTTTGCCATCTTCTTTCGAGATTTGGAGCATGAATTGGTCGAACATGAGACATTCAAACTTAGGATCTTGTAACTTATAAACTGTTATAAATGTTTCCACAAGTTTTCCCTGACCCGTCTGGTGTATACCTCAGTCTTCATGATGCTGTTTGTTCTCTTTTGTTCTTTAACGAAACCTCAGAGACATACACAACAACAGATGGGTTTGTACTGAGATTAAGTGGCACACAGATGGGCTCTATTTACTACTGCAATTGGTGACTTCTGAAGGTAAATTAATGCTTTGGTTTTTTTTTTTCAAGGTAATTCAATTGAATAGGAATGATTATACAATATATGGATACAATTTTCCCTCCAATTCCAAAAAAACAAAACAACAATGCACTGTTTTGTGTTTATCATAATAAAACACATTGAAGTCTGTCATGCTGGCTAAGCTGGAAACAGTGAGAGTGGTATAAATACCTTTCCAGACCACTACAGCTGTGCATTGTATGTCAGAGACCTTCCAGCTATAAACTTGCCAGCTTGCACATCACCTTACCTTGTCGTCATGAATTCCTGAAACCTGCTCGAAGGTTTTCTCTCCAACCATAACAGCAGCAAGGTTGGCTGTGTAGCTTGACAGCACCAGTAAGCAGAAAATAGCCCAGAGGTTCATCAAGAAGCGTCCCGTCCAGCATTTGGGAGTCTGCAGAGGGATGACGGATGATGAATGAATCATTGAACAAATCTAAAAGATTGAAGCTCAAGACGAAACGGAGAATTAACAATGTGTCAGAAATGGTATTCCCCGCCTTCTCCCTCTGTTTAATCGCAAAACCTTCATGCAAAATCAGTTTTTCTTCCCCTGAAATTAACAAATTGTGAAACCAATGAACCGGTAAAAGCAAAAAAGAGAGAAGAAACTGCAAGCATCTTTGTTGCAGCATATCGTACATATCTGTTCATTAAATTGCCTACTTAGGGGGAATTCACCACCTGAAATGTGCAATTATTCAATTAGCGAACCAATTAAAATCCACTTAAAAGAAAGAAAATAAATTCACTTCTAGTGTTTTAAAGACTGGAGATTAATGGGACATCAATTATACAAACAAGGTTATAACCCACTTTCACAACAGTGTGGAGAGGGTGACGAACACTCAGCATAATTAGTCGGTCTATTGAAAAGGGAATAAAGTGAGACTTCACATGATGAGCATAATTTTCCAATTAGCATTTTTGGGGAGGAAAGTCATCCTTAGGAAAGCTTACATGCTCTCCAACATCTCTACAGTGGAGATGTAATAATAAAAGTGGCGTCTTAGTGCCGACTCAGCACTGTTTTATGGAAACTGTGTCTTATAAATGAACGCGAGATATAAATCTTGTCAAACTGGTTCTAATTTACCGAATACAAACATATTTAAATAAAGGCCTGGAAGCAGCATTTTCCGAGCAAACTCTCAGCTGATGAGCACAAAAAAAAAATAAAATAAAAAAAAATACAGCATTGTTGCATGAAAAGCTCATCAAGCAGGATTTAAAATAGACACCTAACTCAGTCAGTTTGACAGCTTAGCCTACATACTTGTTTGTCTCCACAAGTTGAATGTGTTTGCAGAAGGGGGCTTCAGGATTAGAAGATTTGTTGGCACAACATTGTAAGAAGTTTGTTTCTTTTTCTCGAAAGGTTGCTCAGATTTTACCATCAAAACGTTAAACGGCTGCAGACGTCAACCTGTTTATGTGCTGCTTGTATTAGAAAGGAAAGGCTTTCTAATGCAAAGTCTTTAATAAATAAACACAATATTCTCATAAAGATAATTATAGTTTACACAAATTAAAGCTCTTAACCAATTTTGACTGAGAATGGCACACTTTCTAACATGTTAAACTGCATTGTGATTTTTATTTTTGTTGTAGAATGCAGTATTGTGGTGATGTACGGATTATGGCTACCTCGACTAATGCTGTGTACTATGTTTTCACCCATGAGTGACAATGAAGCGCAAAACTGAGCTGAACAAATATAAAAACATCGGAGCTAAATATGTAATATTTCAGAAGACGAGCTATAAAATTTGTAAAGAAAGAACAATCCCCACTGAACAAATTCATATTTTACAAAGAAGCGATCATTTCAGCTCCATTTCATAAACACACATTAACATTTCATCTACATCCATTTCCACTTGCCACGCCATTTTGTGTCACGTATTTAGATAAATTGCATGCAATCTGCTAAAGATGAAACATTACAACCATTTTCATTGATTGTCTTTCTGATTGACACTTATGAAATGTAACAGATTGTGACTCCTGATTAAAGCAAAATAGCTGTGCGCCACCTCCTGCTGGTTGATATTATTTACTGGAGTCATAAACCACATTCCCTGACAGCAGGCTGCGAGGAGTTTCCAAAAAAAAAAAAAAGAAAAAGTAGTGTAAATCATAAACTGTCAAAGTAGAAAAGTCATCAGCCTGGTGAAAAAGAAAGCCTGGTCAAAATGACTCCCTTGCTGTGTGTTAAACTTTAATAAGAAACACATTTCAAGAAATACATAAAAAAATATTAAACACATGTATTATGAATAATTAGTTGAAAAACACATTCCCTATTTTGTACTGTTATGCTTTTAATTGTTTTGAGTCTGAAATGACAGGAGAACTGTGTAATACATATTCTTCAGAGAATGGCACAGCAGATGAAGATTTAGACATTTGGTACACAGCTGTGGACGCAATGAATAATTTTTTGTGTCACTTTCCCGCCTTTTGTTCTCCTCCTGTTTTCAACTTTTGACTTATAGACTCATTGTCAATTAACACATACAACTCTGACAAATTTCTCAAATTGTCAACACAATAGATAATGACGAGTTCAAAATCTAAAAATTGTTACAGCTCTTTGTGTTAAAGAATTATAGTTCTTTAAGCATAAACATCGGGCAGACATATGCATTTTTGCATTGAAATAAATTTCAGATCTTTTCAACATCATTTTTTTTTTTTTTGCTTCATTGATGCCTCAAAGGCCTTCGATCATGTAAACCACAAAAAGTTATTTCGAAGCAATCTGCCTACTTTGTCTACAATTTCTCTATAAGCGCTGAGGCTTGTCTTTGTGTGTTACCACTCGAATAATACTCCACGAATATTCTGCTTCTCGCTGGGCTGGGCTCCAGCACCTCATAACCCACTCCAAAACAAATTGGGGATAGCAAATGGATGTCTGAAAGGATTAAAGCAAATATCAAAGCTGAACTTTACACTAACAGTTGGCGATCGATTCACTTGCCCTCCCTCCCCGACAGGCAGGGCGTGTAGAAAACGTCACAGTTTGGCTCGACATCAAGGGCTTCACGGAGCTACCGAAGGACATTTTAACGGGTCCTGAGACTACTAATGAACACAACCGTTAACTGACACATTAGCTGCTGCAAAGATCGAACGTGTGACCTTAGAGTAACGCTTTGAGGTGAAGACTCCAGCAACACTTGAAGAGCAAAGACATGCGCAGACCAACTCGCTCTGGCTTGTGGCCTTCACCAGCGTCACGTTCTGTTGTGGGAAAGTCCTTCAAGCTCTTTCACTTTGGTTATTATGAGAAGCTTCCTTTAGGGACAGCATATTATTATGCATTGAAAATACTTCATGATCTGCTGCAAACTCAACAAGGGGGACAGGCGCGATTTTTGGGAAATGACACCTGCTGCTGCTTGAAATTTTGAGCAGCACAAGCGCAAGTTTTCACAATGATGGATTTTTGGACGGCTGCGTCGCTGCATGGAAACAAAGAATGCATGGAAGATGGAGTCATCATTCATCCGCTTTGTGGTTGGACGTGCGCGCCAATGTGACTGTGGGTGTGACACAATCTGTCAAATCTGACACGTCCCAGAAGAACGCCGTTATTGCAAAGGCGCATTTAATATCTTTACATATTTATGTCAAATAAATAACATGGAAACAAGGTGCAGGAAACTAGATTGTTTGACCAGCCGACGCATGTTCATTAACAGACAAGAAGCAGTCACATTTCTTCGTTGGAGCTTTGTAGTCTAAATTTAGTGAGGATTTGCGAAGGAATTTCACCACCTGCAAGTGTCGACTAATGTTATTGTTTTCCTCTCTACTGATGGTATATGAAGAGGTTTCTCTTTACTTGTGTGTATCGCACAAGAAGCATCTGAAGACTCACCTTGCGATCACGTTTTCTCAGCTGAATTTTGACTTGCTCTTTTCTACATTCTGGACACGCTGGGCATGAACAGCACAGACAGTCTAGACCACTGCTGGAACATCTTTTTTAAATGATTCTCTGTTAATCTGCAGTCTGGATTCAAATGCAACAAGTTTTTTTTTTTTAAAATGCAAGCAATGTTTCAAGGATGGACACATATATTGGTGTTCCATCTGTCTGTGCAATATGCAGAAAGTAAGGCTTCTGAGTGGGTTGGTCATCAGTTTCCACCCACTCTGCCTGCAGCTAATGGCAAATTTGTTATAGTTTATGCTCTGGATACTTGCTTGGTTGTTACAGCAGGTTAGATTTAGTTGAAAAATGGCATAGACTTAAAAGTTTGCTGACATTAAAGTTTAGGTTCACCCAAATGTCATGGAAGAGCACCTCGCTATAAAACTCAGCCATATAAATACAACCAGTTAGCCTGTAGAGCAGTTATTTACTGTCTTTTCTTTTGTTCTGGTTTCTAATGAGTTAGTCTTGACTTTGTCTTGGGTCAGGCACTCCAGAGAGACTTGGAATCAAAACATGTCCATGGGATCGATGATGAACGCAACTGTAGTGAACACTATAAATACTCGCAGCACAAGACTCCACTTCTGAAGAAAAAGCATTCTGGAGTTTATTTAAAGCTTACCGCTGAATATTTGGAAAAGTCAACGAAATACTAGAAGGATGTTGTTTGGCCAGAGGAGAATGAAATTTGACTTTGTGAACATCACTGAAACTTTATAATTATGAAAGGAATTACGCGTTTTATCACTGCAATATACTGCGCCAACAGTGAAGCTTGGAGATAGGAACCTTGTGGGGGTTGGGGTATTTCCCATATAAAATCGAAGAAAGAATAAATGAGAAAATAATTACTGAAACATTCTTGATAAGAAGATATAATGAGAGTGGATGACTTTTTTTTTACTGAGCCAATATTCAGCCCAATAAAGAAAGTCAAGCTACTACAATTGCCTAGTCAGGCATGCAGCTTGAGTCAAAGTGAATATCTGTGGAAATATCTGAACATGTAATTGCATAGGAGAAAGATTTGATGCTGGTTTGTGTATCAGCCAAAAGCTTTTCTGCTTAGTATTAAATGCATTTCTGTAACCATGTTAAGTACTTGTTTTCTTGTGTCATTCCATTTTTTATGTACATAATTTATGAACTAGCTTGTTTTGATTTCCTTGTATGTGCGGATTACTTGAGCTTATACAGATGTCTGACTTGAATTTCCTGCCAGTGGGCACATTATAACTCTATTTACTGAGAGAAGCATTGATTTGTTCAGTTGTTGTTTGCCCCGGTGTACATCACCCTTTCTCCAGCACACTCAAACTGTTTCATCTCTCACATTCACAATTACACTTTGAACTCTACCCTGAGAATTTTTCTGTCAGCTTGCCGATTACCTCCTTTCCTATCACCTTTCCAGCCCTTAAGCAGCCTTCCTTCCCTTGCTTTCTTGTTTTTAGCTTTGTGTGTGACTACTTTCGGATGTTCACCTCTAACCGTTAAATCTTTTCCCGCTTTCATCCATCCCAATCATTCGACCCGACAAACTCTCCTTTGTGTCTGTCGGCGCACTTACCCTTTGCCCTTTCTCTCCCTGTACGTACATTACCCTCTCTGTATCTCTCTACTTCATCACTGCCTACCCTCTTAACCACGCTCCTATTAATCTTTCCTGTTATGGTCGTCTCTATCATCTTCCCCAAGCCTTTTCCCCTGACTGACCCCTGACTGTTTTGATTCTCTTCCTCTTCTCGACTTGTTTGGGCTAATAATCTGCTTTCAGACGCACCACTCATGACACCTGCTCGCCACAGAGAGCGAGAGCTTCTTTACCTTGGTGGCGACGGTGCGTCCGAAGAGTATTGCGTAGCAGAGATTGAGGGCAGACGAGTAGGAGAACACACGCAGCCTGTTTCTGCCATGGGGGGTCATGCCAAATGGGCTGTTCCACTCATACAAGGTGAGGAAGAGCGCTGTGAGGTGCAACGTAACAAAAATGCCCACCCACATGGACCAGTGGAGCGGCCACATGAAGGCTCCAATGGGTGCTGCCGTGTCCCGGCTACGAACCTGAATGACATAAAAAAGGAAAAAAAGAAAACTTAAGATTGATTCAGAACATTTCATCTTGTTGTGCTTAATCCAGAACTGTTACGATATATCTAACTCTTTATTTCCAGAAAATAACCACAGTCAACACAATTCCAATTTGTTTGAAGCAGACTAAATTAATTGCTTATTCTGCCTGCATTTTTAAGGAAATAATTTATTTTTCCTTAATTGAGTTTGTATATTCCTATGTGATGTTTCTTGAGCTAACTCTTGTTTTGAACTTTTATAATTAACAAGTCCTCCACAAAGCTCCACAAGCTAATTATTGCCAAAAAATATGATCTGTCTCTTGCCAGTAGACTAGGATTAAGACTGAAATATGCAGAAGAATTAAAAGGTTACATAGTGTTAGGTTTTACTGAAAAAGTCGCAGAGAAAAAATTCTGAAAGCTTTATTACAGTCTAGATTTTTTTTTAGCCTTGCCTCATACAAATATGAGAAAATTGGCACCATTGGCAACATGTATATTAAGCCTCCAAATAAATGAATATTTTATTGCAGTAGCATAATCTCACATATTGGGGAAAATATCCCATGATGAAAATGAAATGTCTTCAGCAAATCCATGTTGGCACCTTTATTGATATTTCTCCCAATAAAGAAATACCAAGAAAATGAATGCATTTAAACATGTTTGATGTTGAACTCTTCGTTGATGAGATGGCATTTCCTTTCGGTCACCAGGCTGGAGCCAGACTTATTTTTACTTCGCCACCAGGAGGCCAGTTAAATGTTGCAAAATAACCTCAAAATCTTACTGTCAAACATTGGTGAAGAGAGTTTTCTTGGAGTTGTCATAAGAACCATTAGATGCATTCCGTGTGCCAATTGCACGTATCGAGCTTCCAGACCTCTTGGGTCTTCTGGGAATGGTCTGCTCCGTATCCCCAGATCCAGAACCCAAACAAAGAGAAAGAGCATTCAGCTTCAATCTGGAATAAACTTCCAGAAAACTACAAATCAGCAGAAACGCTGAGTTCCTTTAAATCAAGACTGAAAACCCATCTCTTTAGAGTTGCATTATCGGTACAGATTTGATATGTGTCGATGATTTTAACAAATGACACTTGACAAAATGCGATGTCTGTTTTTGGTTTTCACGTGTGATGCGTCGATGATGACTTTATGTTTTCACAGTGTACAGCACTTTGAACTGCCATGTTGCTGAAATAAACTTGACTGATTGGTTGATTGCATGTCAGAAAAAGCCTACTCTGCAATACCATCACAAATGTAAACAGGAGTTAGCTAAACTTCACCAGGACTTTAACTGGTGTCATTTGATTAGAGGAGACTACTGTTAAATACAGTGATGGATCTGTGATCCTGTATTCGTATTTGTCTAGAATAAATCCAGATTTTTTGATGGTCCAACCTTGTAAAAGAGATAGGAAATATAAAAGAACTGTTAGTGTTGTCTCAACGTGGCTAAAGTGTTGTTGAACAAACCTTTGACGATAGGAATGCCAATACCTGTGGCTCCAGTGATTTAGCATAGAAAAAAAACATTTAATAGCATGAGATGTTACATGAATTAATGCAATTTCTAAAGATCTCAGCGTGAGATTATTCTACTGTCATAAAATTTTAATTTATTTTAAGGCTTTAGACAGATCTTCATCAGGGGTGCCAATAATTGCGGCCACCAGCATGTTGACTGCAAACTTAAAATGAACAAAATAATGCTAATCAAGGATACCAGAATTCCCAGACTGGTGGAGTAAAAGGGAGAAGTGAAATCTATCACTCTGCTCCTGGCAGAGTTGATGGAGAAAGAGGTGACGGCCATGTCAGCTGTTCCATTCAAGAGGTCCCCCACAAGGCCAGTCCAGCGTCCCGTCCCGCTCAACGCGCCATACTTTCCATCTCCCACAATGTAAAGGTCAAAGGTAAATCCCATATCCTCTGCCAGTTTCTCCAACAAGTCAATGCAGTACCCATAGCAGCATTTCCTTAGATCCGCAGGCAAATCTAAAAGGAAACAAAGGAGTGATGGTGATGTCAAACCATTTGGACATTCATATGCATGCTTTGTAAGTGCAGTGGTTGCACCACTGGGAATCTCTATGCAACAGTGATTTAAGAAAATTGCTGATGGATCACCAAAGAAAAAATAAATAAAAATCAGCTTGGACATTTTAATGAACCTGGCATGCTGGTCCAGGCTACATTTATTAAAATTGAGGCTAAAAAACTTTTAAAAATAATATATGTATAAAAGACAGCTGGCAATATATAATATACTTTTTGCCATTTTGATTTCTGTGACATTGCATTTTTTTTACAATCTGAGTTAATTAAATGTGGCTGTCTGCCAACTCCTTCAATTTGGGTCCAGATTCCTCCATAAGTCCAAAACCCAAGGACAATCATGTGGAAATGCGATGAACTGGCATGTGTTCATTAAAAGTCAGAAATACATTTACTCTTTCTGAACAAGTCTGCATGCATTACAGACTTCTTGCATGTTATTGTTTACATTTACAATGTTTTGCCAGTAATTTGGGTTAAATAATGTCTAACTTGATTCAGTAAATGTAACAACTAAATGAATCCAGCAAGGGGGAGTTGGCGTAAGTGAGCAATAGTAAATAGGGAGCTTCCTCCTTCTCAGTCAATATGCGCTGGAGCAAAGGAAAGAACATGTTTGTGGCTCATTTCTTCGATTCTCCATTTCAGGTGTGGGTCTGCACAGAAGCTTATCTCTACTGCTGTTAAGTGGGTTTACGAACTGCTGAAGAGCTTGTGAATATGCTATGTTACTGACTACATTCATATGTTGTTTTAGCAGGTAAAAGTAAAGTTTAGCCACAGTTAGCCAGAAGCTCACAGCAGACTATACTAAATCATGAGTGAATGTAGCAGCAGACTGTGTTTACAGTTGTAGACAGTGAGAGTTTGTCTGTTCAAAATGTTTGTTACTCTCGTATTTGTGCATTACATCGGTTTAGAAGAAAACCATACTGTTGTTTCGACTTTGGAATTGTTGTTGTGTATGTTTACAAGGAAGAATGACTCAGTTACGCTGGAGCAAAGAAAAGAAGATGTCTGTGGCTCATTTTATTTCAGTCATTCCCCCCTTCAGGGCTTTTACAGAAATATGTCATTTTGCATCTTTGGCTATAAAGGGAGCAAAATATTGGAAAAGTTGTATCTACTGGCTCATTCTTGTATGACATCTTCAGCTTGAAGCTAGTAGTTATGTAGATTATTTTGGTTTTGGAAACTAACTTCGCCAATTTGAAATTTTGTCAGATATCGGAGTGTTAAAGTTGATACTTAAGGGACATTACCAGTGAGGAAGTGTCTTGGCCCAAATGCAGGGAATGAACCACTTGGTAACAGGAAGGCCATGAAGGAGCCTTCAACAATATGACTGCACTGCCCTTACAAAAACTGTGGTGACTTATACATGATCATGACTTACTGCTTTAGCTTATGAACCTTTCTATCTTCTATTTGTAGTCTTTTGATTCAAGTTACAAAAAAGTGCAAGAAAAGTCCATTTGAAAACCTTGAGCTTTCTTGTTGCCAAATATCTGTTTGCGTCAGAAAACACACTTGATTTATCTTTAATAGAGTAGATTTAATCTAATATTGATTTAATGTTTTTCTCGTTCTTCATTCATGAAAGTGTAATCTGACTGTAGAGCTCAGCCCTTGACACCAAGCCAGATATGCTTTTGAACTATACTGACCATCAACAAAATGAGCTCAATACTAAAGTAATATAGTACTATCTGAAGTATATTGTATACAGTATTAACATAAAAGCAAAAATTCACACATTAAGGCATTAATGTGGAGTTCAGAGTAAGTAAAAATCCTTCCATAATGCTGCAGTTGTTATTGGGTTCGTTTATGACTTATTGTATTACTATTTTTTTCATTGGAAATGCGCAATTTGTAAGTAATTGCCAAAACAAACCCACCAATTCCTTCCCAGTCTGTCACTGTAGAGTTGGGGTTGTGAAGCTGGTTGAAGAGGCCATTGATTACATCAGTCCGATTGGTTTTAGGATCCAGACAAAGTTGACCTGCTGGACACAACCCATCCTCATCGACCTCCCTTGTGAAGACAAATGGATGTTCAACCAACGTCACCACACGGAGGCGGTGTCCCTCGACGGAAAGTCCTGGTCTCCAGTGTCCTCCAAAATAGCCATCCCCTTGACCATCCCCTCCTCTGACACCAGCTCCAAGGCCTTGTCCCTGGCTGTTGCCGAGCCCTCCCACCAGTCCCAAAATGCCTCCCTCAAGTTCTAGTCGACCACGCGTCCACTGTCCTACAGTAACCCACGCTGGCTGACCCAGCGCACCTCTTTTAAGACTCCATACGTGGAACAGTTGGGAGGAAAGGACTCGAGAAACATCAGCATCCACTTGGATCAGTCCCGTAGAGCCAGCGAAAGAGATGTTGGACAGAAACCTCAAAGTGAAGGAAACAACAATCAGACAAAGACAACAAAAGGAATGTTGCAGCTTACAATTGTAGAAATGTAGCCTGAAATAACCACCAGGATACTTTGTAAAAAAACAAACAAAATTTTCTAAATCTTGCACAGATGGGCACAGCCTGGTTGTAGCACTCTAGCAGGTCTCGTCTCAAATGGGTAATTGAATCTCCCAGACGGTCATAATTAAAAGTTAATGCAGTGCAATGAGGGTCTCCTTCTATCTGCCAGTCCATACAAACAGTCATTGCTATTCATCTCACTCGTCTGGTGGCCCTGCACTGGTCTTTACTGTGGAATATATTAGGAAGAGCAATCCCCATTCATACATATATCTTCCCTGGCCTCTCTTAAACCACACAGGGATTGTTTGTTCATGTCTTAGCATTTGATCATGATGATGCTGTCATGATACTTCTTGAAGAGGCATTCAGGGCCCATTTCATCTTGATTAGTTGGAAAATAGAGGGAGGTTGCAAATTGTAGACACAGTTATGCAAATGTTAAAAGTAAGGTTCATTGCATTTTGTGTGCACTGAACTGTGCCAGGAATGTCATGGTCAAGACTTGAAATGGTAAGCTTTACTTCTGCTAATGGGAAAAGGGTGTTTGAGTTGTGGCTCATAAATGCAGCGTATGCAAAGGACAATGACGAGACTAAACTGATCATGTGGGTCATTAATCTCTTTTCCAAGCCAAATTTTAAGAGCTTGTGTGTGTTTCTGCTCGTGAATTTGTTCATTGGCCCACGTTACATTAGAATTTATGTCAGCATTCCCATATATCTGATGAACCTGATTAAAGATGCCCGCGTCTCATTCCACATTAACTTGTGTTTTGTCATCAGCAGCCCTTTCTATCTCTTTGACCATAAAGTGCAAGAGCTCGTCTTGCCTTAAGATGAAATCGCTCATGGTAATGGTGCAGCTGAATCATCATATCGAACAGACAGCAGATTCATCAAGCCAACCCACTCTAGACTCATACTCTAATGGGTTCTGCTGGCCAAAAATAGAAATAAATAAATTAATTAACCACACAGTAAGCTCCACTTTACATCTCCTATCTGTGCTTTGTGGTGTACACTACAAAGCCACTTGCTCACATGTAGTGACACCTTTGGATAGAACTGGGCAGCAAGAGTTGAGGTGTTGCAAATGAAACACTTTTAAGCGATGCCACTTTTTTTGTTGATGTTTTCAGCATGTTGTTTTGTTGAAGAAGGCCCAAAGCAGAATTTAAAGAATGATGGTGGACGTCAAAGCAGCTTGATGAGTCTGCTCGCAGTGTCAGAGAGGGATGGCTTTCGCTCACTAACACCTGGGCCCGGTTTACCCGGGCAGCCCGAATGTCAGCAAAGCGGATGGTAAGTGATGACTCTATAAGAGAGTCGCAGGCATGTGCCTTGGCCTCTTATCACTCCATCTTCTTTAGTTTGGAGGGAAGTTTACTCCCTCTGTCTTTTTTTGAGTGTTTGAGATGATACAAGACTTGCTTGTTTAGACAGTTTTAATCTCCGCTGTGGAGATGGAATCGGTGCGGCAGCTGTGTCGAGTGAGATGGAACTGACTGGCAGATCTCACTCTGATAACAATAGTCCTCTATCTGCTTTCCTCCCTTTACTCCTCCCCCACACCCTTTTTCCTCTCAAGCTATTCTTTGACTTTATTCCGATTTTTACCTTTTGCTGCTTCCTACTTCCTCTGTCTTTGATCTATCTGCTTGCCTTTGACCAAGTTCTTGTTTTTCTCTAATGTATCTTTGGGATCTTTCAAGTTTGGAGATTCTGAGAAAAAAAACAATAGGGACATCAATACTTCGGCTTTATCTATGTTGCTCCAAAGTTTCGTATTTTAAACTATAACATTTTGCTTTTCCTCACTTTCTCCCTTCGCGCCTCACTCGCCTGCTCATATCTCCAGACATCCTCTCTCTCCCACCCTGCCTTTCTCACTCCATCCCTTGGGGCACTGAACTGTTAATTGCCTCTTCCATGTGGAAGTCTCTCACTTCCTTCAGCTTTGTTAGCATTCGCCCGAGCAATGCAATGTCTGGCTGTTGGATGAGAAGGATAAGAATCGGGCTGCATGGAGGGAAAGTACTGAGTGTAACTTCACAGTTTCACATGGTGTGATAATACAACCCCTTTTATCAGTCTCTTTCATGCCAGAATAAAGGTCACTTGCACTATATTGCACTATATTACCATTATGAACAGCCCAATCGGAAAGTCCATAGACTGTCCAAATTGACAGTCTATAGAAGGACTGTAACTTCTCCTGGTGTCCTGATAAACTTTGAGGTGACTGTGAACCATTACTGAGTTACTCTTTAAAGAGCAACAAGACTACAAATGAGGCAGCACTTGGCAGCACTGCTTCCAGTATGTAATCAATCTAATCTGTTCACAGCACACTGAGGTTTAGCAAGTCTAATATTTACGGTGGCAACAATCATCGCTACCCTGCAAAGATTATTTGCAAAGATAACTGAAATGTGTTGGAATTGAGATTTGATAAGAACTGTCATTCGGGGAATATGATTACAAAGTAAAATCTGGTCTTTTAAACAACAGTTTAAAGATTAATCCTTAGATTGGACATTAGCAGGGCGAGTGCTACAAACATCGGATCGATCAGAAAACAACTTCACAAACTAAACACTGCAGAAATCTGTTAAATTGGATTTTTGCACTGTGGTCTTGTTTTAATTGCTGTCCTTTCATAGCAAACAGTTGAAAGCAAATAAATTCCAAAGTTGGAAAGATGCACTATTGACTACAAATGATGGTTCATTACCAGGCCTCTGCAGGTTATTGACATGCTGATGAGAGCGTTGGAGCATTTAAATCAGCTGTGTTGGAGCAGAGACACATCTGAAATTGTGAGGACGTTGGACACCCAATGATCTACTCCAGGGTTAGGCAACTTTAGGGCTGGTTTTCTGCAACTTTTAGTTGCGTCCCTGGTTCAACACACCTCAATTAAATGGCTGAATTACGTCCTTAATATGCAGTCGAGTTATCCAGAGTCCTGACAATGACCTTTACTTTTGACTCACATGTGTTGAAGCAGACATACATCTACAAATCAGAGAACTTTCAGTTGCCCACCTTCTATGTTGATTGTGATATTCCAATCAGTAATATTAAAAATAAGCGTCAAAAGATGAGCATAAGCTTTGCAAAAGCAGTGCTAGGCCTAAAGATTTTCCCAAAACCATGTGTTGTTTTGACACACAAAAAATCATTGTATTCCTTCTCTGTTTGGTGCACCTATGTTTTTATCCTTTGGCCCTGAGTGGTCAATAGTTTGTGCACCCCGGTACTTGTCTAAACTGCAGAGAGAGAATCCAGCCAGTAACAATATTAGTGTTGTAGATGATTACTCTCTGCTGGGAGGCAACATGTGTGCTCAGTATCTGCTGCAGCCCCAACTCCTTCTGCAAATCCTTTTCTCTTCAACACCTCATGACCACAAGACGCTGGGTCCTTGCTGTTTTATCCATTGTGCCTTTCGAGGAATATCCATGTCAACTGACGGGGCAAAAATGTTTCAGTTTGGAGGGAATTTACAGAAGAAGAGTTCAGCTCTACAAACTGTATCAGCTACATGGGGCTTAGCTGGATTTCTGAAGTCGGTAAGTGTGTGTGTGTCCATATTTGAGGATTACGTTTTTCTTCTTCAAGTGAAAACATTATTATTTAATAAGTCTTTTTTTTTTTTTTGCTCTCCGCGTGTCTTTAGATCACAGAGAGCACCTTGGCAGATCTTTGAAAGCTGTCGGAGGCACTTTCTAAAGCTGCAGGGATTGGGCTGATGGTAACAGCACGGACCCTTTTGTGTCAGTCTGTGAATCTATATGTCACACAGACCTCCTCCCCACCTCTCGCATGAGAATTAAGAAATTAGAGCCCCTATTGTGCAGAGGACAGGCAAGGGCAACAGTCAGAGCGTGAAGAGCCATGAGCGGAGAATTTACTACTAAAAAGCCAAAATGTCACTCAGTAAACTAATGAGCTCACAGACACCTAGTTGTGGGACCAGCTGAAATTAATTGTAGTTTGTCAGCGTGATCAATGTGTTGTAAAGTGATTGTGGAACTGCTCACTTGTGGCACTACGTCTCGTAATTTTAGACTCCCAGTAATAATGATTTCACAGCAGAAACCGGGGCTGGTTGTAAGAGTTGGAAACTGTTTTTATAAGGGATGAAGTAAGGTGTGACTAGAACTTCTGCTAGTCCTATATCATCTGAGGGAAGATATTTAATGGTTGGACAAACTTATGCATCTTCCGCCTTGCTGAGGTTTTCTTATGGAAGAATGCAAAGTACAGATGATGGCAGGAGGCAGAAATTAGTCTTTAGCAGAGAACATAAAAACTATTTTCTTAAAAAAAACTTGTTGCTTTACCAGAGGAGATTATTAATGTATTAGAAAAGTAATTGAGCATTAGGCTGGGAAGGGCTATAATTTTGAGTGCATAAATGTTTTAGTCTTAAAAACAACAACAACAAAAATCACCATTATGAAGAAAAAATGGCCACCAGGGTTTCAATGTTAATGCTGCTTTAAACCTAAAATAATGACTTTTAGTATTTCTCTGTCCATGCAGATGCCACTTATCTCAGCAGTATCAGCATTCCAATTCTCAGTCATACTACTTATGCAAATTGTCTAAGGGTGTGGTGAATAACAATACAAAATCTATACCTTTTTTTAAAATTAAAATGCCAAATACACTATAAAAAACTATGGATTATTTAGACCGCTTTCCTTTAAAAACCCCTAAAGGTGCAGTAAGTAATTTTGATGGAAAAAGTTTTTTTTTTTCTGCATATTTGTCAAAACTGTCACCATGTCATGACAGAATACTGTGAGACGGGTAATTTGCCTCAATTTGTGGTCCTTCTGCTAGCAGAAATATCGGTCAGAAACAACCAATGAGAGCCATCAGGAGGGTCTTGGCACTGTTGATCAGGTTGTATGTGCTGTTCACATCCTCCTCTTGCTCTATGTCACATTACAGCTTCTTCCCCACAACAGAGCCTACAGTGAATGTGCAGGGTAGTTAGCAGTCATCCTATCACAACAGTAAGTTGTTTTTCCACCATTAGCACAGCTGCAGCACGTTGTGAAAGACTGTATTGACCCATGGGGGCTAAATGGACACCAAACTCTGGGGAAAAACATCCAAGGGTTGATAAGTGCAACATGTATAACTGTGTGCACATGCTCATATGTCCATACCTGGAAAGATACTGTCCAGAAGACGGCAGTTCATGCCTGTTTGGTTTGTCGTAACAGTTCACCAAATTCTGAACCAGCGCCAACTCCGGCTTCACCATGGTGGCCGTAGTGACTGCTCGGCCTACCAGCTGGAGGGCGTCCCGTATGTAGAAGCTTATCGGCTTGCGTCCCACCTCCCCATAGGCCAGCAGTCCAAGGGGACCTCCCAGAGTGTGCAGTGAATCAGGGGACAAAGGATATCCCATGATCCACTGCAGCGCTGGAAGTACCGGGGCAAGGCGCTGAGCGGCTCGCAGGACAGATGAGAGACACTCCGGGTCAGATCCCATGAGAAGCACGGAGGAGATCGGCGAGGGGGAGCGCAGGAAACTGGAAGAGATGATGTTCAAAGCCTCTTCTTCCATTTGATCCTCCCTCCTCTCCTCGCTGGCCTCCCCCCTTCTCTCTTTGCCGCCGGTGATGAGCGTCAGGTTGATGATATCCCACAAATGCCAAGCAGGACCGCTGTGCCTCTGCAGGTGAGTCAGCAAGCCGTCGCTGCCTTCATCCCATCCAGGGCAGATCACAGCTGCTCCTCCCCATCTGCCTTCTCCTCGGCTCCCTCTGTCCCTGTCCCCGTCCCCACTCTGCAGGACCGCCAGCAGCAGGCTGCCAAGGGTTGAAGGAGGTACACGGGCCGACATTTGGAGGTGAAACCGGTTCTGTAAAAAGATGAAAGAGAGTCTTAGAAGCATTTTAGCAGCAGATATATAAAGAACAAGAAATGTTAAGTATGAAAGACAAGAGCACATAGAGGCAGAAAAGAGGGTAAGGGATAAAAGAAGGAAGAAGATCAGAAGTGATATTAATGAATATCGCAAAAAAAACCTTAGGGCTAACCTACCATTAAACACAGCTTTTATAAACATTAGAGACTGCAGTTCCTGTCACTGTGGTAATTTAACACTACACAGATCAGAAATAATCAAGTGGTCATATTTGCTCATTATCTCTCACTCTGAATGAAAAGAGGCGCACTGATTCAAACAAGGAGTCAATGATTCGCATCTAATCTGCAACATCACAGTTGGCTTGGCAGGACAACAGTAGCATCCACAGTTCATCCAGGAGCCGGCATTCCCAAACCCCACCGAAAACACTGGCTTGTTTCATACAGTTCCAAAATGGACAACACTGTTGTCCTTGAATGCAGCTCACAGATGCCCACACCCCTGCTTCCTTTGAGAGACTCTATCCATTTTTCATCCTATCACTGCTCCAGGCAAGGTTGATAGGGGGTTGGTAGGGTGGGTGTGTTTGTATAGATAAGGCAAAGTTTGACCATAGATGATTTAAGGTTTGCTCTGAATGCATTATGACATCCCATCTCAGGCATTATGACAGAACAGCAGGGTGACTCAATTATGGAAAGAATATATTTTCTTCATTATTGAAATTGCAGCCTGATCTGTCCTTTACAATGGAGGTGTTTTTTTTTTCATTTCTGTCTTGATGACATTGTTTGATTAGCTCAACAACAAGCAGGGTAATAGAATCTTCCCACTGTTGTAAAATTGACACTTTTCACAAAAAAATAAACAATAGTAAGGCAAAGTTTCCTATGATTGCTTTAATATTAAAAAAAATGCGGTGGTTGAGTCAGGGTCCTATCTTGAATCTGCAAGAAAATATGTGAAGGGAAGTAAATATTTGTCTAATGGTAAGAAGACCATTAAATTGAAAGACTCAACACCGAAGATGCATAATAAAAACAAGCATTTGATAAATGCCTTTCCTATAAGAAACAATCTTCTTGGGTCAATGAAAATGTCGAAATCTGCCAACAATGCAAGTCATTTTGGATTGAGTTGTACAAGTAAGGGCATATGAAAGCTGCATTGGTTGGACCAATCCAGCCCCCAGGCCCATCTCTGTCACGCAATGCAAACCCACTCACCGACCGCAGTCAGAAAAACCCACCCACACTCAGACAATTCCCATGAAATCCCAACAAAACAAAGAGAACTGCAACCCTCCGTAAAGATCACAAATGCCGCCCTCCAACACCGGTAAATGGCAGCTGGGCTGGCACCCCTTGGAGCGACATTGACACCTTGCAGTCGCACACAGCTTCTTGTAACCTAAAAATCGGTGGTGACACAAGTCAGCCCTAGCAGTCCAACAACCCTCCCAAACACGTCCAGTCAGGTTGCAAAAACAACTCACGAAAGCTGCACATCCATTGAACCAGGAAGTGGAACGTCACACAAAACAGCAGAACAAAAGCAACAAATTGAGGGTGCGACACCACAAAAGACATCCACTTGGAGAAAAAGAATGTGTTTGTTTCTACTACAATAAAGAGTGCTTCAGCGGCATGCCTTGGAGCTGAACGCATCAAGGTTTCAAACATGCGATCATTCTGTTGAATAAAGCCTCACTCTCACATTGAATATAACACCTTAATGACAATTTGAAAGGTAACTAAACTGGGTTTAACATCAAAATCTTTTATGAATTGATGAACTATAAAAACAAGACCATTCATATGAATTGGCTTTCCAGATTCATGTACTTAGCCAAAGTAGGGTACTGTCGTAGGTCACTAAGCATGAGTGAAAGGTCTAATCTAGGTGTTTACTTACCTTTTAGTAATATATGAACCTATAAACATATCAGTGTCACATTCTAAGTCACTGTGATTATGTGCTATATTGATTCATTATTGATTTTTGAACATGGCTCACATGTTTCTTCTGGACTTTTTGGGTTTCTTTTTATGACAGTTCATCTCGCTTCTGTTGACAATCATTGTAGGAAAGATTTTGCTATAGTGGATGCTCATCTCCTCTGTGTACTAAAAAAGCTCCAAAAGTTTGGTTGATAATGGTTTTTCATGTGGTGTGCAGCTAATTAAGGAAAAAAAAAATTCAATGGCAGAAGTGTTTTTTTCTGCTTCATAAATTTAGCTCTTAGGTTCAACCGTCTGAGAATAAAAGCGCTACCTTTTTTGGTTTGCTCAGGTCTCTCCGTCCTTCAGCTTTCAGTCTGAGGCCTGAACAGAGCAGGTCGAATGCCACAGACAGGAATCTGCAGTAACAATGCAGTCTGTCTGTTACTGTTCTTTCTTAAGATTTTGAAAACTTTTCAGCAGTGCTTAGACTAGTGATTACTGGGAGTTTCTTTTTGTGTGTGTTTGTGTGAGAAGCAGAATTTCCCAGAACACTTTATTTTCAAGGCTATTATTTTTTTATTTTTTTTATTTGTGTTTCTATCTGACCTACTCTCCTCCTGCAGGAGTGCTACTGTGATATGAGAAAAGAGATTTTTGCAACTGCGGAATCCAAAATATGATTAATATCTGCGAACTCCTCAGATTGTCAAACTAAAAAAAATAAAAATAAAAAAAATAAGAAGAAAAGAAGAGTAAAAAGAGTAGGTAGTGTGGATTTTCATTTAACTTCACAGATCACAACTCCTGATGAGAGAAAGAAAAATAAAGGAGTGCTCAGATAGGGGTCAGCTACCTCAAAACTTCATACTGGCTTTATAGCAGTTAGGCTTTGAGATAGTATTAAAACCAAATGGTTTTTTGTAGCAGTCCAAAGATCTTTAATAATTAAAGCCTGTGAGATATGTCTCCTGGTAACCACAAATAATGCCATTTAAAATCTCTTGCATAAAAGCCTTCGAGAGCATTATTCTATTCCTCCATCTCCACAAAGGTGCTGAAAGCTAAGATCTCTGATTCTGACGATTAAATCATTCCACTAAGGTTGTCAAATTTTAGGAAAGTATTTAAATACAAACATAGCAGGAGGCTGGTTTAAAATATTGTATCTGAGGACAAAAATGTAAAGTTCGGTCGGGTAGCTCAGAGTTTACATAAAACATGACCCACAGAGGAATATGAACTCAGGAATAACTGCAGCAAAATGTTTAGGACATTCTGCCGAAGAGAAATGTTGAGCATCCTCTGACCACCAGGACGCTTGGAATAATGATAATAACTATTATAAGAACATTACAATAATGTTCTTGTTATTGTGGAATCCTCCATTGAGGTAGCATCATTCTTATTAGTATTAGGTACTAGACTCATACAATAATAATAATTTCCAAATGATTGTGATTGTTTGGACCCAAAAAACATGAACAGACATAAAACTCGAGACTAATTTCACCGGCCTGCTCAACAGAAAACCTCATACTGTTTGCTTATGCATTTCTAGACATGTGAGGCCAAAACTCCACTTGTCTCTGTAAATCTGGTGGTGTCCAATGCAGGTGGAGCAAATGCTTACATAACTGTCGCGAAGCAAACATGGACGCGGGGTTGAGGATGAGACGTCGGAACACAACTGCGACTGAGGCGCATTCATTCAAATGGAAATGTGCCACCAGGGGAGTACAAAGCTAACAAAGCAACACTCCACTGAAAGTCCTCAGGTCCCTGGAGACAGTTAAAGGAAAATTATTTGAAGTCTAGAGAATTAATGCGGCCCATGTACTCATCCTCCTGGAACGAGCCAGGTGTGTAGGGGCAGACAAGGGAAGATCTGTTCGTTTGAATTGGGTTTGTTGTGAGGGGAGGGGGCAGTGAAGAGGATGATTGATGAGGGTGGATTGTCGGGGAGCCAGCGGAAGGTGGTGCTACAGGTGTGAATATTTTTCAGTCTATTACTCCCAGGATTTAAACTAACATAATGCCCATTTTGTCAAAAGGCTCAGAAAACATGACAATGTGTGATGATAAAAGATAAACACTGCACCTGAAGGCAGCCGGGGGAAATACGGTGGAAATCCGTATGCAAAGTATTGTAGAGTGTAATCCGTCTGAGTCAATGATTCACGACAAAATGCTTGGAAAGAAAGAAAACTTTTGGACCAATCAGTCCCAAAGAATTGTTTTAAAAACACACCCCGATTAACAAGCTTGTTAGCAAGTCAAAGCCAGCTTTATGCTGCACACACATCATTGTTAAATTAATTGTAATAATGTTCGTCTGCGGGACATCCCGTGGCTGTGTCAGCTGTTTCACGCCAGCGTTATTTCATTATTTCTCTCGCCCAATTACAGTCAGCCTGCTTGACTTTTCGAAAGATTCCTTCGCCATTTCAATTACATTCCTGGTGCTAAACCCGAGCTCTTACCCAGACAGACTCTGAACGAGGACAACAGTGGAATTACTTCAAACGTAAAGACGTGAGAACAATAATAAGAGGTAACAGCAGCATTACAGTAGTTTAGATGAGCCTGCCAGGAGAGAAAACAAATAGGAGCAAAAGGAGGAAGGCAGATTTGGGAGCCATGAAGTGACTCTTAAGAGATAAGGTGATATATTATCTTAAGCCAAGAGTTCTAGTCCATTAGATGAGATAGCACTCTGCTGTTTTTTGGAGTGGAGGAGGAACAATTTCTTAATCTATGGGGCACTCAAATTTGACAAGTTCCAAAATGGAGTCTAAGATACGAAAAGCGTGCGATCAGATTGGCTATTACAACTGCAGCCACTTTTTATGCACTCATTTCCTTTAGTGGAGTGTATCTCAATTATTTAATAGTTGATTGTGCAGTAAAACCTTGCAGAACTTATCTTAACCTAAACTACACTGAAGGTTTTTTCACCATGTGTCATGATGCAACCAAAACACCTTCAATTATTTTTTTTATTGTGTTTTTATGTTTTAGACCAACAGAATGTAGAGGAAAATGATACTT